ATTAATCTTGTTCTCTCTCAGGGTTCTTTTTTATTTATTTTATAGAATTAGTCTCCCTCTGTACCTACAACGACTGGTCATTTTGCATTTACTTTTTTAGCTGCTAGGTAGATGAGAATGCCTTTGTGATATGAAGTGTTTAATATAAAGGTTGTTAGCAAGAGGCATCCATCAAGTTAATGAGCCCACTAATCATATGTTTCCTTCTGCCCATATCAGAAGCTGATTCCACACTGAATTCCCCTCCTCCCTTTCCCACCAAATGGAGTTGGCTCCACCCTCAGGGAGGTTTGTGCTACTTATGGGACAGATGGCAAGAACACTGGATGTTACCAATTGGTTTGCTAGTTTGACCTGACATTGAACCACTAGATTGATCAAGTCATGCTCTTCCCTTTCTATTCCTTCCTACTATACTCCTACCCCCAAACCAGCACTCATTCATTTCACACCTCATTCCAAGCCTACCTCTTCTTCCAGTTCAGATTCAGAGTCTGAAATACCCACCTTGGAAAGCTGTATTTTGGGACTAGTAGGCCCAGTCCCTACAATTAACATTTTTAAGAACATTTGAGAACATTCTTCTCAAAGAACATTTGAGAAGAAATTCTTATTGCAATTTCATAGCATGTATGTATTTTAATTTTACCACATCTCATGTTAGTCAGGCACTGTTTTAAGTTGTTATATAGTGCAATTACTCCTGGGTGGCTTCTTTAATAATCTGAGCCATCTTTTTCTTTCCTTCTTTGGAAATCCCCCTGTTCCTGTGCATATGTGCTGAACCATATACCACAATGGTGAAGAATAAAAATTTAGTACTTATTGTAAATATATATATATAATTTTCAGGATACTTGTTTTTTATGCCAAGGAAACAGTAAATTCAAGTGATGAGTTAGTACATTTTCTAGTAAAAGTGCTTTAAGGGTAGGCTTTTCTAGTGCAAGCTGCCATCTCACTCACAGAATTGCAAATGGATAACAAGAAAAGAACTGCACATGTCCTTTGTATAAATAGTGTAAAAAAATAAGCTACCTTGAACTCAGTAGGTTTTATATCATAGTAGAGATTGATGTGTCTAGACTCTTACTGAATATATGTTTTACTGTAGATGTTGAGGGCAGGAGCTGAAAATTTTGCTTGTTGTAAACTGTCCGGAGATGCTAGTAATGGGACAGTCTATAAAAGTTTTAAATAAATAAATAAATAAATTCCCAACATATTTATTCTCATACATGCAACTATTTCAGGATGTGATTGTTTCAGTTTATCTACCCGCACATCTGGCCCCCATCATATCACCTCACTAAAGGCAGAGTGTTTCTATGGGGATGACTATTTAGCATTGAGCTCCCAGGATTACCCAGCCCAAGATCCTGTACCTTAGAATCATAAAATAGCAGTGTTGGAAGGGACCAGAATGCCGTCAGGTCCAATCCCCTGCTATTGCATCCCCACTTATACCATTCTTTTCAGATGACTGCCCAGGTGCTTTTTGAAAGGCACTCTGGAATTAATGAGATCTTGTCCTTCCTCTCTGTGACAGCCTTTTGGGTACTTGTAGAATGTTATCATATCACTGTCTCTTCTTGAGGCTGAATATGCCTAGTTCTCTCACTCTTTCCTCATAAGGCTTTGCCTCCAGTTCCTGAATCATCTGTGTTGCTCTCCTCTGTATGCTTTCTAGCTTCTGTGTATCATTTCAAAACCTAGATGCTCAGAACTGGACACAGTACTCCAGGTGAGGTCTGACTAGTGCAGCATATAGTGGAACTAGTACTTCATATGTTTTGGAAGTGATGCTTCTGTTCATGTAGCCTAAAATACCATTTGCCATTTTTGCAGCTGCTTCACATTGTTGGCACATATTTAGTTTGTGACCTTCAAAAACTCTAAGATTCTTGTTTGCAGTTCCGTTGAGCTATATATTCCCCATCTTCTATCAATTAATTTGATTTCTTTTTCCTAGGTGGAGGACTTGGCATTTGTCCCTACCAAATTTAATTCTGTTGCTTTCAGCCCAGCATGTAGGTTTATTAAGATCACCCTGGATCTTCTTTCTGTCTTCTAGGATATTTGCTATTCCACCCAGCTTTGTGTACATTTAATTATCTTTCCTTGTACTTCCTCATCTAAATCATAAGAGCACTGGTCCCAGGACAGAACCTTTTGGCGCCCCACCTGTGACCCCCTCCCAGTTTGAGAAGGTGCCATTGGTGAGCACTCTTTGAGGCTGATTTTGCAGTCAATTGTGGATCCACCTAATGGTTGTACTATCTAGCTTGCTTTTTGCTAATCGGGATGTCATGTGGCACTTTGTCAAAGGCTTTGCTAAAGTCTAGATAGATTACATCCACAGCATTCCCACAGTCCATTTGGGAGGTTACCCAGTCAAAAGAAATTACATTGTTGTGGCTACTGTTGTAAGGGTACTGTATTGCTAATGCACGTGTGTGTAGTTATGGCATAGCTGCACGACGTAGAAGGCCTACACTGCATCCAACATGGACTATCTCTTTAGGACTCATTCCTAGCATGATTTACAGTTGTTGTTTTTTCCTACAGGTGTAAAAATGGCTGTAGGAACAAATGGCTGTAGATATTTAGCAAGAACAGAAGGTACTGGGACAGTGTTCCACACACTGAAACACTGACTCTGTTAAGATTGTGACTTTTGAAATAGTCAGCCAGGAACACAACAGTTCTGCTGTTGAATGTTGATTGAAAACCAAATTTCTGAGGCTGCAGTACTGCAGAGTGTTAAAACACAGTACAGAATCTGGGAATGCCACAGCCACTTGTCACTAGTGTACATAGTTGCACAGTATCCTGAGTAGGGATGCCACAATTTGCCCAAAAAGAATCTCAAGCATTAGAACGATGATATGAACTGAGGCATAAACAGAGTGTGGACCTCTCCCTGTTCCAACAGCCCCTGTATCGGAAGACCTAGATACAATCAATGTGGAAGAATGCATTGTGCAGAGTAGCAGGTAACTTTCCTTTCTATTGTTCTGGTATGCCTATTGAATTGGGAAAGCCATGAAAATTAGCCTGTGCTCCCACTTTTCAGGATTGAAAGGATGCTCCATAGCTAAATCCTTTCTTTTTCAATCGATTTGTGTTTATCTCCAAGATCTTTACCATGCATTATGTTGCAAATGAAACCTTTGCAAGGTTGCTAACAATGTATCTATTAAAGCATCATTCTTCTGGAAAAAAATGCTGAAACTTGTTTGGGTGATTATAATAATCTTTTCTTCTAAATTAGATTTGGCAGCAATAGGCAACTGCTAAATTTATCCTTAAATGTGTGTTCTGCTGGTTCTTACATTGTGTTTTCTTTTCCCATTATGCAGGAGATGTTGACCCAAATAATAGCAGAGGAAATATTTAGGAAGAAGTAGCTGAGAGCAACCTGGAATGGTGAGTGGGGAAATAACAAGCAGGGCTATTGCAAAGCTATATTCTTTGGAATGCTGAACTTCTCAACAGCATTTTATATATTCTGCAAGCCTGACATTTAATCATGAGTAAACAAACAAAAAGTCTTCCTTGCTTTTTGCTTGTTGATAATGTTCTGAAAACATACTACAGTGTTTCTCCAGAACTATGGTGAAAAATTATTCCTGGCTTTCAGAATACATGGTTTCAGAAACCCATGATTCTTTTGTGCATACTCAGAGGATGGTTTTGCTATGCATTTCCAGGAAATAGCCTTTTTATATGAGCAATGCCTGTGCATTCTTTCTTTTAGGTTTTTGAGTATAGCTTTTTCTTTTCTGTTTCATAAAGGTGTCTAACAAAAGGCAGGGCAATCACCCAGGAAATAAGGCTTGACCATCAGACCATATTTACATGTTTCAGAGTCTGGGAAAAGCTAAAGGATTGTTACACAGACTGGAAAAGAATTCAGATGTGACAGCAGGCATTTGAACACTGTGTCAAAATTGGCATGGAAAAAACCTCAAGTAGTCAATTTCTGGGTAGCACGTGGGGATGGGGACATCATTTGCCATTCTCTGGAATGGAATGACTTTTAATGGGTAGTGAAAGAATACCCCACTAATAGTTTATTCTTCTCCTTGGAGCACAATAACAGTTGCTGACTTTTTAGAATTGCTATGAAAACAGAAGAGTCAAGAGTCACTGCAGCATTCATTTGTGATTCTTGAGCATGGATTTGATGCAGCATGAAGACACTGTCTCAGAAATCCAATCTACTTAGATATTTCTCCTGTTCCCAAGAAAAATGTCTGCCTAATGGGATGTGAGTTGAATCACATCTGGCATGTCAGGGCTATTAAACAGTCAATGAATACCCTGTGGAATTGCAATCTTATCCTTCCTTCTACAGACCCAAGTATTCCAAAGTGGAAGACAATGCTGGTCTCAGCAACAAAAATGGCCTCAACCAGAAACAGGAAAAACTGGGAGGCAGGGAATTATATGGCTTAGCACATCGTGAAGCACTGCACAGCCAAGGATCACAAAAGTTTTCTCTCAATATGATTTTGCAGATCAGGAGGTGGAATCCACTAACAAAAACTGAAGGTTGATTGAAAACCATGCTGCCATCCTACAGCAGCTAATGAGCAAAATCCTGGATGGATCAGTGTCTGAACAAGCAGGGGTCACCCTGAGAGTCTGTGCTATTCGCCACCACGCAAAGGGGATGGCACTATCCAGACTGAGACCCTCAAGGCAACACAGGCATCCAAAGAACTCTTCTAAGTAGCAGGCAAGCACTGACACAAAACCATTTTCAGAGTACGGCTTTGAACAGTTTCAAATGCACATACTTCCCAGTATGGATGTTCCTCGAAACAAAAGCAGACCACCCCAGAATGAGAGTAGTCTTTATTAAGATTGTTCTCAGGGTTTTCAAATATATTGATATGTATATGTTATACTGTTCCAAAGAGTGCTCCAGTTCAGCACATGTGGTGAAAAGAAATGGGAGATTGCCCCAATAATTTTTTTGTACTGCACATATATAAAAATGGATACTTTTATTTGCATTGCAAAGCAAGATGTAAGACAAGAAATCAAGTACAATAGGAGCACTACAATAACAGCAGTTACTTGGCAGAAGCACCTGCCCTGTATCATAAGCGCAATGATTAAAAAGGAAAACTAAACAAAGGTGCAGGAGTCTTCCACCCACGATCTTCTCTTGTGCTTCTGTTCTACCTTTGGGCATGTTTTGCCATTCTATTGTTTGCATACCCCTCTCCACTTTGCAACCTTCTTCTCATGAGATTTCCCTGTGGAGAGAGGAAAGAAATCAAGGTCTTGATTCTCAAAATAGATGCAGCTAGGAAACAATTGAATCGACTAGAAAGGAAACAGATAAGCTGGTCTCCACTGCAGCTGTCTGCGGAGACATAAACTGGGCTAGCAGTTTATCTGAAACCCTTGTCTCAGATGTGGTTTGTTCCTGGGGAGCTGTACTTCCTCCACCAATGTCTTGCTGTCTGAGTCACTGCAGGGGTGAATGGGGCTTCAGGATGGTTCTGCAAGGAGCAGTGGCTATATTGTACCTTACCCTGTGCTATGACAGATTGTTCACGGTTAGTCCCATGAGCTAAGGGACACAACCAATTCATTTATGCATGCCATAATGAAAATCAAAGGCATGATTATGATGAAGAAAGATCATGCCTTTCATTTCATTGTAAAATGAAAGGCATGACTTACTACCCACTTGGAAAAATCACCCGGTGTTGTATTGTTACAGTATGGATGGTGGATCAAGCCACCACTGACAACCCTCTATCCTACGAATGCAATCTTGAAAATTAAACAAAATAAATTAGAGAATCCACAGAATAAGGTGAATAAAAATGAATGATTTTTTAAAGCATGGTTTTCAATTTTTAATGGAATTCTTAAAATTTAAATTGGATATTTAAAAAAGATTTTTTAAAATAAAATATTTTTGGGGAAAACTTTATCTAAACATAGTTTTTCATTTAAGATACATTATAGTCCAAACGTTTATTCATCATGAAATAAGGATTAGTTTTTAATTATGTAGCATAAGGGTGTATATTTGTGCAATGTTTAAATTTTTTGGTTAATGAGTACCATTAATCCATTCACAATGCCATGCTCTTCCAGAGGTTTCTGTAAAATTACTGGGCAACTTTTCTATGTAGAATATATTATCACAGATGCTTGGTTTTACAGTTCTCAAAATTGAATTTGTGTCTGCAGAGAGCATATGCCTCTTCTTCACAGCAAAAATGTTATAAAATTATCAGTGTTGAAAAAAAGACCTTAATCCCATTGTTCCTTTGCAAATCTATGTACATAGAATCAACCCTTTCTTAAGTGCTAAGTTTCAAAAAATTCAATGACTAGAAAATGATTGCTGAGGATGGAATAGATCTGCACAATACGCAAAGTGTAAGGAGGGAGGGGCCAGCAGGAAAAATGAAAGTGGACCCTTGTGAGCAGACTACTCCACAAGTGTTTGGATCCTTTTGTGTATAGCCCGAGGTTTATCATATGATTCTTTCCCTGGAGGAGAAAACCTGTAATGGCAGCAGACCGTAAGACCCAATTTGGGAATATTAAAGAAGTTCATCTACATATGATAGGCATCCACGCATGCAAATTGTGTAGAAACCATGATTTAAATATAGTCTTACTGACTAGTGAGATAAATTGATTTGATTTAAATCAAATGCACCCTGCCACAAACCAAGGAAAATGGGTTTCTAGTTGTGAACCCCGTAGGCACCTCCCGTTCACTTGCGACCGAGGGCAGTTCCTACATGGAATATCCTGGGAGTGCATTTCTCCCCATCAGCCTCAGCCACTTGTGCCAAGGACCGTCTCTGCTGTGCCACTTCCTCTTCCACTCACAGCTGCTCTTTGGCAGCATCAGCCTCCACCTCGTGGTTTGGTGAGCCCTGATGTGACCGATGAGTCCTTAGACCTAGACTGTGAATGTAGCGTTGAAAAATAAGTATCGCTTTTTAAAAAATTGTTGAGCGAGTAGGTGGGTTCACACATCACACCAAGCAACCCTGCGTAGTTTCCACCATGGAGTTTTTTGTGCGGATGTGCCTGGAGGACAATCAGGCTTGTGGTGATTCTGTTCTTGTCCACCATTTTCTTCCCTTGCAGTCCCAGAAGGCACCATGCAGAAGAAGGAGGCTCCTCAATTTGATAGCTGCAAACACGAGCTGAGTTTGGTTTGCTGCAGCTCTAAGAAGCCTCTGCTGTGCAAAGAGGGCCCAAGTCATCAAGTGCAGCAAATAGGACAAGGAGCTGTCCGCTCCTGCCCCAGAGAGGACCACTCAAGCAGGACCAGGGGTGCTCAATCCATGCTGAGCCAGTGGGGGGATCAACCGGGGATCACTACAGAAAGGAGCTGTGCCCCCCACAATGAGCACATGAGCAGGAAGGGTGAGAAACAGCTGGGTTGTCCATAAACTGAAAGCTGCAAGAGGAGCAAGCATCCTCTAGGTAGCAGTGATGAGGAGGATGCAGGCCTGGTTCCCCCTTTTTTTGCTCAGGTATGGCAAAGAGATGTTTCCAAGCTGGTACCCGCAAAACAGGCACTGGTTTCAGGACACCTCTGTGGCATGCCAGAGTGAGAAAGAAGTGCAAGAATCTGCAGCGGAATCTATCCTCCAACTGCCCACCATCAGTCAGAAGATCCTTATTCCTCTGGTGGTGTGGGAGGGACTTGACTCTAGTGCATGAGGAAAGGAGCGGCTTTCAGTTTATGGACCCTTTATACTTAGGAATGATCCTTGACTTATCCTTCACAGTATTTTTAATCAAAGACAACACTAACACGGCAGGCTATACATGTGGCTTCTTGGGGGCAGATTTATAACCAGCATCAACAGGATAACATGTTTATTGCTAGAGTCAGATACACATCTATCTCTGTCCATATATAATTCCTAAAAATTCATACATGGTAAGAGAACAACAAAAGGCTTGATGCACAGAAGGCAAAGGAGAAAAACTATCCCAGTTTCCTTCAGGTCAGAGTACCTTCTTCTTTCTTCCAAAGTGGTTTGGGAAAGATCAGCTTGAAGAATTATGACCAAAGGAAATGAGAGGAAGAAGTAAAAAAAGAAAAATGGTGGGTTTTCAGCTACATTCCCTGTCTTCCTGTGATTTATCAAAAAGCAAAACAATTCCCATCCATTTGCTAGTATCATATTAGCAGATTGTTCAAACTGTGTCTACAGGGAAGTAGGTTCCCTGCTCTGAAGTAAAACTCTGGCTTATCTTTGCTCATGATGAGTGATGGTGTGGTATCTATGGGAGCAAACAATCCTGCAGTGATTGTTTCCTCTCTTTTTTCCATCAGAAAGTCCAAAAATAAATTTATCTATGGCTCTGTGCTAGATTTATTCAAATTAGCTTGTAACACTTTCCCTTTGATAAACCAGAAGGGTAGCATGGGGAAACCCACAGCAGTGTGTAAGCAGTCTGGGCAGCTTCCACTGTTGCTCAGCTCCTTTTCTCCCTGTTGCTCACACATAAGAGATGGCAGAAGCAGCATGGATACCTCCGAGAGTGGTGCAAAATCGCAACTGTCAGTGGCACTCTAGTTAGTAAGAGAGAACTTCTCAAGAGTCTCAGACTTTTCTAGACACCTGCTGAATTTTTGTCTGTCAAATCTAGGATAGAAGATTTCTCAGTTTGCTTTGATCATTAACAGGACAGATACTTCTTGCCTTTTTCATTATTAGAGTTATGGAAAGTGTTAGACTCATCTAGTAAGACTTAGCACAAAAAATGGCTTTGCCTTTCCTTAAAAGTTCCATTATAGGTGCTTAGCACTATGCCCTTATTATGCCCACCATCATAAAAAAAAAATCTAGAGATTGCATTACAGGAGTACAGTGCCACAGCACTCTTTCATTTAAGTGGGATTGCTACTTTTTTTTTTTTTTTAAATATAGCTTGGAAAGTGCTTTAGTGTTGTTCAGTTAAAAACAAAACAACAGATGATAAAAGTACTGGCTTTCACAAACATTATACTGAATGTACTGATTTATTTATCTGATAGGTCACTGCCCACATCAAAACCACAATTTGAAAATTCTGGACAAGCAGTGTGAACATCATTTACACCTGTGAACACAGTGCTACTCTTCTGTACTTTTCAAAAGCAAAGTTAGGCTTTCTCTGATACGAAACAAGATGGAAGGAGCACCAGGAAACATGAGAATACAGATGGACGGCAATATTATTTGTACAATGTGAGTGAACTGCACAATAAACCCCTATCTGGAAGCAGCCATACAAATAAGATACATTAACACTTAGAAAACCCTTGTACAACCATTAACACTTGTACAACCCTTAGGAAAAAAACTTGCAAATCTCTTGGTAAAAGAAAAATAGCTAAATAAAGGGAAAATGGTCAAAAAAGACAAAGGCTTGAAGAAGTAACTGGTGGCACTTTATAGAATGAAGTCCTTAGTGAAGCAGTCCAGAAAAAAGGCTGTACTGTTTGGAATGACAGAACCAAAGAGCCAAGAGGACTGGCCCATGGTATTTTGCTTCCTTGGACAGAGCAGCAAATTGCCACCCCTTACGTAAGATGAGATGTATGGTACTCATGGCCGTACAAATTATTTTGACATCCAAAGCAGAAAGTCTCACAATCACCTCATTCTGGTAATAACAATAAAATTAATGCTACTAAATTCACTACAGAGCATGTTTTGAACCATTCTCCTCTCAATGTAGGTACAGGAAATTTTGTTAGTTCAGTTCTGTGAAATTCGGATCTTATTTATATGCAATACTGCTCTCATGTGGCAAGATGTTACATTCAATACGCAGTGTATTATGTTTGAGTGTGCGTGTTTCCCAAAAAATAGGTATTGATAGAACAAGAACAGACTTTTAAAATAAAGGAAATGCTCTGACCGTATTTGAAATATGAAAATTCCTGAACAATCACAATCACAGTTCTTTCTAAAATGCATATTATCATACTGTCTGTTTCTGGGGCACAGATTTCCCCCTTGCTACTGACTAAATTGGAGCACACTTTAAGTCCAGTTGCAGGGATACCCCCCAGCATTTTGCCCTCTTTTTTTGCCCATTTAATAACAGCTGGGATTGTGCTCTCTAGGCAATGAGAATACCTCAGGGATTCTTCAGCACCTGTTGGCTATAGCATAGACTGTTTTAAAGATTACTGGTTCATGTTTATTCTTTTCCACAGGATGATGCCACTGAAAGAACTCAACACTGTATAGTGTCTCCCACTTATAAGAACAGGAGAGCTGTGGTGGATCAGCCCAAGAGTCCATCTAGTCCAGCATTTTGCTCTGTGGCCAACCAGGTGCCCACCAAAAAACCCCCACCTCAAATAGGACATGAATGCAACAGCACCCACTCAACCATGTTCTCCAACAACTCATAAACAAGGTGGAGGCATTTTTCACCACACACTTGAATACCCCTTACATCAAGTTCCTGCAACCTCACCCATAATCTGGAAACTGTTAACTTACAGTCTTATTGATGTCAAATGAGTTTGGCAGACTGAGATTAATTGCATCCCACAAACATAAATTGTATAATATTCATTTGCTAGATCACCTGTGGTAATAGTCTCCTGCTATCTTGCACATGTTCCTTTTTTAAGTTCTATGTGAATTGCAGACAACCTGAGGTTGAGAGGAGAGGGAAAAGCCATTTCTCAGTTTGTGCTGAACTTTGGAGAAGGAGGTCCTTGAAATCTTCTCACTGCCTACCATTCTCCAGCATATCTACAGATACTAGAAAGGGTAGAAGCTGTGAGAAGCATTTACATTGGTTTTTCCTTATCTGTGACTGACTGAAAGGGAAAAGATTCTTCCCTGCCCTTTATACCATACCATATGCCATATTTCACAATATGTATCTCAGGGTAGGTTCTAATGTAAATTTAAAACAAAACATACAGACTTAGAAAAATTAAAATCAAATTCCTCATTCCAGTATCCCTGCATGTGTAGGGAGACTGGAATGGGGAAAGAAACTAAGAAACTAAGTCTTATTCCATTTTGTGCAGAGTTGTCAAGACAAAGATGCAACACAAATATCTCACTAGTTATTCAACTAAGCATTTTATGGAAGCCACAATGGCTATGCCCACACATCTTTCAACATTTGGCCTCGATGATATTTCCACTGACAATATGATTCTATTTAAGCCTGCACAAATTTAAGTTCCTTAGATCTGATTTTATGGGGATTACTCCCAGAGAGGATATACTTGGATTACAACCAGCGAATAATCCGCTCCTGCTATTATGATGGCGAGGCAGCAGCTACGACTACCCGTTATCGGACAAAGAGCAAATCATTCTTCCAAGAATCACACAACTTTAGTCCTCAGAAATTCCACAAATTTAACTTTGCCGCGTTTTTCCTCATCTGCAAGGGGAAAAACCTCTAAATCACCATGCTAATGAAGGTTTATGCAACAAATACCTTTCCCTCTTCGCCATAGCTAAAACCAATGCCGCAGTGCCCTGGGTGAAGAAGCATGTTCCCCAAACTTCAAGTGAATCATGCCTGTCCCCAGATAGAAAACCCCAATATATCAGCAGCGTAACGTCTGTACAAAGGCCTTTGTGGTTTTTAAATAGAACAACGCGGCTACAACGCTGTTCTTTTTAATCAACGTCTCTGCAAGACTTTATTGATTGTACAGCATCACAGCGATCGCCCAAAACCAATATGTGCGATAAGACACCGCGGCTTCCCCGCTCTCTCCCGTCGCTTCGTGATGACGAGTTCGCCAGCTGGCGTCCAAAACAGAATGCGCAGCCAACGCAACGGACTTAGGCCGCCACTTCTACGCACGCGCAGTTGGTGCAGAAGGCTCTTTTTTTTTCCCCCTTCTCCCACCCCTTCTCCCTGTCTCTTGTCTGGGGGGAGGGGACAGCTAAGGTCTCGCAGTAGCAGCGGCAGCAGCACTCCCCCCCCCCCCCCCCCCCTTTCCCTTTAACTGACAGTGCGACCGGCTTCGGCAGCGGCCCTCGACAAATGTGGCGGGCTAGTCTAGAGACGCTTCGTTGGAGTCCGGCGCTGTGAGGCGAGGCAGGAGCGCAGGCCTCGCCGCCGGCTGCCCACTTCTTGCCTAAGTGGGAAGGGAGGAAACGAGACAGGGACCCAAGCAGCAGCAGCAGCAGGTCCCGCAGGCAGGCAGGTATAGGGGGCGGCGTCAGCTGTGTCTCACGCCTCCCTTCTCCTCACCGAGGTAGGGACCTAGAGACGCCAGGCAGCCTTTTCTGAGGCTCCCCTTGAATTGGTTGCCGGGGATTCAAAGCCGCTTTCTCCAGCCCGGTGAATCAAAGGGGCTCTCACCTGCCGCTACAGGTTACAGCTCTTCCCGGCGTGGAGAGGCCGCCGCCGCCGCCGCCTCCCGGGTACGAAGTGGGCAAGAAGAAGCAGGGGAAGAAAGAGGCGGCTCTGACAGTAGCGGTGGCTATTTTGGCCGCGGCTGGCCTAGCGAGGAGTGGCGGGCAACGCGCTGTAGGCCGGCTGAAGAGGACGTGGGTTCAAGTTCTTGGATGCCGAGGGCACCTCCCGCACGCTTCGTCCCCTACAGCCGCAGCGGGGCATGAACCTGGAGCAACCCGAAGGGGAGGAAGAGGACGACGACGGTGGCGAAGAAGAGGAAGACGACATGGAGCTGCCGCCCGACAACGCAGCCGCCGCCACGACGGCCGGGGCCGGGGCGCGCGGAGAGGCTCCGGCGGACCCCGCGCTCGTTGGGTGCCTGCTGAAAGAAGACGGCGAGGCACCGAGCAGCGGCGGGCACCACAGCCTGGAGCAGAACCTGAGCCCGGAACTGCAACAAGGCTACCGGATCCTGAAGGAGTTTCTGTCGGAAAAGCACCGGCCCCTGACTGCCCCTTTTCTAAGACCTTTTGGAAGCCAGAAGACTGAGGATGGGCAAAGTGGCACAGCAGCTATCACCGCTTCATCTTCCTCCTCCCGCGAAGGTAGCGGGCATCAGTCTTCCCAAGAACCGCAGCCGTCTGGGATGTGGCTGCTGAAAATGGAAAATAAATTTTCGACTGGGAAGTATAGGGGGATCGCGGATTTCGTGGCTGATTTCCGGTTGATGCTCGAGACTTGCTATCGCTTGCACGGGGTAGATCATTGGCTTTCAAAGCAGGCTCAGAAGTTGGAGATGATGCTCGAGCAAAAGCTGGCTTTGCTGTCTCGGTAGGTATAGTGGAAGCCTTCTGCTGTATTGGGACACCAAGAGGAAAGTTCCATAAGTGGAGCTGGTGCTAATTTGTAAAACAATACAGGGTGTGAATGTTGTGGAAACCCATGTTTCTAAAGTTAGTCCTAAGAACGCGTATTGGGAGTAAACTACTGCTGATTTGAGTGGAGCTTACTTGTGAGGAAACATGTTTGATTGTGCTGCAGATCTTACGATCTGTTACTAAAAGGTCTAAAGTAGTGCCTTGTTTATAGCACAATCTTGTGTATGTATACTGAGAAGTAAGTTCTATTAGTTTTATTTGGACTTATATCCTAGGTTGTAATTCTATCTATACATTTGAGGATTTGAAGTATTAATTCCCATTTTTAATTGCATGATAGTGTTTTTTCCTAGTACACACTTCATGGTGACAGAAAACAATATTTCTGAAGAGACAGTCATTTCTTAACTTCTTAAAAGAGAAGTGTTGGAGTGTAAGGCTCCTGGAGTATGTACTTTTCTACTCAGAAAGCTCCATTCCCTAATTCTTTATGTGGGGAAGCTGGTTGTCCTTATTGTTCATGTGATCACAAGGTAGTTGACATAATTTGTGTTTGCATGCCAGCTGATTTACCTAATTACTCTTCCGGATACGGCTTCTTATGTGAACTGAGTTGAGGATGGCTTGTTGCTTTGGTTAACAAACCACCCAGAACCAGAACTGATTTGTTAACTACCCAACAAACCACCATCACTGGATTCACATAACACAAGAAGCTGTGACAAGGGTGTGGATCAGCAATTTGAATGGGTGCTATAGCAATAGCCATAGTGAGCTGCAGTTTCAAAACTGGATTGCAGGGCTGAACTCTTGCTCGGGTTAAGACCTGTACTTCTTTGAGGTAGCTATACTTGTGGCATTCAAGAAACTAAATATTTTTAATTTTCACTGGAAAAAGGGTTATAGTGTAAAACCATATCAAATCTGAGGTCAGGACTGCAAACCTAGGCACAACCTAAAATTGATTGTCTGGAGCTTTTTAAATATAGCAAAATAATATGGAAGGGTTGCTAACTAATCTGCATTAATTGGAAATATAGAACAGGAGCTTAGAAATTATACCCCAGAGTAAAATGGTGTGAGTCTATGTCTGGGTGTAGTAGAATATCCTACGACACATTTAAAGTTGATTACAGTACTGAACAGTACAAATTGATTCATTTCTACCTGTTTTGCTCTTAATTATTACTACATTTCTATGCCTCTCAGTAGTTGAAGTTGTCAGGACAGTTCACAACAATTCATAAAATTACAAATCACAAATTCTACATTAAAATTGTTTTAACTTGGGTATATTAAAATGTTAACAGCTAAAACAATTTTAATAAAACTAGATGTACACCTGACATGAATGCCTTTAAATGCCTGGAAATAGAACCTGAGCATTAAAAGGTTGGCACAATTGGTGCCTGCAGACCTCAGTGGGAAAATGATTCCAAACACACAACTAAGAAGGCCTTCTCTTTTATTGGCCACCTTTCAAGATGACCTGGAAGAAAAGAGTTAAATGTTGATTGCAGTGCCTGGGTAGATTTAGGTCAGGAGAGGTGTTTTTTCAGGGACTGCAATCCCAATATTAAGAACTACAAAACTAACAAATATTTTCTTTATTAACCCTTCCTTTTGTAATTAATTTGTTGCTGTAGTTAGGAACAGGTATTACCCACTGCTTGCAATAAAATACTTGGTGATGTAATAACTAGAAAATTATGTAGGAGCAGCAGTAATTACAGTTAAAGAACTGGGCTTCTTCAGATGTGAATAAATGAGTTATGGTAGTTTCGAATCTCAGACAATTGTTTGTATATAAGAGAATCCATTGTACAATTTTCCTTAGAACTGACAGGTGTAGTGTGTGTCCTCCTGTATGGATAAAATAGGAGGAAGACTATGAAGGTTGCCTTGGGTTCCTTACCAGAGGGGAAAAAACCCAGGATATAATGTTATAATAAATACATCGATACATTTGGGGATCCTGATAGTCACACTGATGGCATATATTTAAAATGCTTAGGGCTGGTTCACATATGCTATCTGTAATTTTGATGACTGCAAACTGCCTTGCTTATCAGTTGCTTGAGTTGGTTGGGTGCAGATATGACAACTCACAAAATCAAGCTTTTTAGTATGCCACCGCTAGCACACATTTAGAGTAGATTTCCACAGTTTGTTAAATTTGTCCTCTATATTATGCATGCAGAACAGCGGCCCTCCAGGTGTTCAATTGCAGCTCCCATCATTCTTCGCCATTGGCTATGTTGGCTAGAAGTGACGGGCATTCCAGTCAAAAAATACCTGACAGGTCACATGTTTTCCACCCCATTGTACCTGACTGCACCAATGTGATTAGCTTACTGCTGATATACGGCTCATATATGTAGCAATTCCTAAGAGATAATGTGCTCCCTTAAGGCACATCTGCCCTTAGAGTGTAATATCATAGGTTTTCTCTGTTACTAGAATTTTTTGATACAGGATGGATACAAATTCCTTTTTCCATATTTGGAAGTGGGTCATAGGTCAAAAAACAGCTTTTGGGAAAGCTTAAAAAATCACGGTTTTAGTATTTGCCAATGAATTAAATTGTATAAGTATCCAGTACACTCATTCTGTGCTATTAAATAACCATACTCACATCCAAGCCTTCACATTTATATTTGCTATATTTGCCATGGCAAAATAGTTGATCTTTGGTGACAAGTATCCCCCTCAATTTTGAAGCTGCAGAGGTGGGTGAAGATTGTCCTCCACAGCTCTATGTCCCTCCATTTCCTGTTCCAGCAGGGGCATCTCTGGCTGCTACTTAGTAGTGCCAAGTTGACACACTGTCCTCCTGCCTTTCCTGCAGCAGAAGTTAGGGTTGTAGCATGCTAGCCTTGTCCACTCCTTCCACTGAACATTTGCCAAAGCCCCCAGTCTCCTTTCCTGCAGGGCATCCAAACATTCTAGACTCCAGTCGACATCTTAATAAAGCTAAAAAGTTCCCTATACCATGTTATACTGCTATTTCAATAGAAATGCCCATTATTAGCAGTAATTATGCTGATTTCTGAAATGGAAGTAACTGTAGTCTAAATATATGGTTGTAAAGGTTTGATGAATTCAATAGATAAAGATGGTCCCCAGTAACTTGCTTTATTGATAAGAAGGTATATTTCCAATTTACCTAGTAATTTACAAATGACACAGATTTTCAGAAAATGGACAAATTTGTGTATTTCTGGGCTGTCTTTGTTAATGTTTGTGCATAATTATCTCCAAAAATAGTATATTTTATTATGAATAAAATACATAGGGGTACATAGTGTATATGTATTACTGTAGAATCTGGATGGGTGACTTGAGTGCCTCTATTATTCTATGCTTCTATTATTGTTGCTGTAAACTGCCCAGAGAGCTTTGGCTACAGGTGGTATAAAAATGTAATAATGATAATAGCTGTATTCAAATTTTGTGTAAGAAAACTAATGTTTTATTTTATTTCGTTGTTAGGTTTTGATTTTGATTTTGAAATGCACAATAACAATTAATTAAAAATAGGGTACCTAGTACCTTGGCAGGTATCAGCTTGCTTAATACTGCAGATTAAGTGTCGTGAGATTAACTCTTGTATCTTTGTATCAAGAGGCAGTGAAGTTATTGTGTGATCAAAACCTGATCATACAGAGAGTTGGAACTGAAAGATGGGCAACTAATGTTTTTTAAATATAAAAAGTGAAGCATGTTATTTTTGAGGGTTTTATTATAAATATTTGCATGGATCCAGATTGTGCCTTCTGCAAATAGAAGAGCTCATCTTGTCCATGTAAAGCTCACGAGCTAGCAGAATATTTCCACTGGCAGAAGGGAGGACAACTTTTGTCATTTCTCTCCTCCCTCTACTGCTTTCTCTGTCCTTCAAAAATCTACACCAAGGGTTGGTACTGGAGGGTTCAGGAGGAGGGAAATAGAGGAAAATAGCCATTCTTTTCCCCTTACTGTCTTCTGGCATATCCTGAGTGGCATTCTTCTTAAGGAATGATCCCAGCAGTGTGAGCAACCTCTATATCCAACCTAATTACTTTAACTATAATCATATCTCCATGTCAGTTGTTTTTAGCTGAGTCTTCATTGATAACTGACATTATATTGGCAGTATCTTTAAAAGTAGTAGAAAAAGTGGACTCTGCAAGGAATAGTGTTGAACAGTAGTTCATATAACTTTAATCTGCAGAGTAAATAAACTAGTATTATGTGGGTGGTAAATGTTCTCTTCCTTGCTCTTTGGTCAACTGCAGAAGCTGCACGTGTTGTGACTCTTGTTGGATGCATTCTTACCTATACTAAGCACAGAGATTCTCTGTGGTCATATTTTTTTACTTGCTTGTTCTTTCTAGATCATCCAGTTTTCTTAAATGATGGTTTTCCCATGAAAGGATTTCTGAAAGACTTCTGAATTACATTTCTGTACTCTGATCTAGCTATGTTAGACATGCCAGATAAAACAACAACAATATAACAGGAAACAGAATAGTATTGGGCTTGCCATGTTATCTGTGTCATTGAGAAGTTCTGGTTTAGTGGTTTTGTTTCGCACTAATTCTTGGCTTATGCCAATGAAAGTGTTCTGCATGCTGGTTGTAATGTGGTAACTGCTAACCACATAGATTGCCAGCACCTCATGGCATTGATATCCAAAGGAATCTTGAATTCATCAATATGTTAATATTTTTAAATTTCTGTTGTGATCTTTCAGAACAGTTTTAACATAAGGCCAACATTGGTGATTCCTGGCCTTTGAAGTAAGAATCATTGCTGTAGCACAGGACTGATTTGGTCAAAACTCATGACTAGTGATGTGGGGTAGAAAATTTTCCATTGCTAGATATTTCTGTAGAAATTCTCTGTGCATTGTTTCTTATAAATTAGCAACCTAAGGTATAAGCATATGCCTAGTCAGAATTAAGTCCCGTT